GCCTTCAGATTCTTAGAAAGTACTGATGACTCGAATTAAATTACAGAAACAATACGACGATTTCAGTTGATTCTATCCATTCGTCGTAAGTGTCGAGTAACTTTTGAAATTTTCAATTTAACAATTTGTTGCTTTTACTTGATTTCATTTTCTGATTTATTTTTCTATGCCTTCAGATTCTTAGAAAGTACTGATGACTCGAATTAAATTACAGAAACAATACGATACTTTCAGTTGATTCTATCCATTCGTCGTAAGTGTCGAGTAACTTTTGAAATTTTCAATTTAACAATTTATTACAGAATAACATCTATAAAATTCATTCCTGTTGTAAGAATATTTCAAGTATAATCAAACAATCGAAGTCTTACTTTACAAATAAACAGATATCCAAGCGAATGAGAATGGAAACGAATACTCTATTAACAGATACATATAAAACCCAGGACCGACTATATTTATCAGATGTTTAAAAACTAGTCGTTACCGTGCGGAAAAGCCCCTGATTTTTATTTGATCGCTTGATGAATGAATGCAAATGGTAAAATGTACCACTCAAAGTGATTGAAATTCTACTTTTGACAAAATTTCTGGGACAATTGTGACATTTTCATGTCCCCATTTGTAATATTTTATGGCAAATAAATGCAGAATTGTGCCAAAGACACTAAACGAGGATGGTTTAAAATTATGAGGATCTACTTTTGCTTTATTTCCTAGCTGTTAATTGCAACCGAAAATGAAAGAAAACGGATTCAGAAGCAGATATGAATGAGAAAATTGGTCTTCACTCATAGGGGGAAAGTGTTAAAAATGATACCGTATTTACTATTCACAAATGACGTACATTTCTTCTAGACTATCGGAAATGTTTTACATACAGATGGTCTTCCATTTACTAAAAATGAATAAGTACATTAGGTAATGTTCTTTTACACGCTTTTCTATGTGATTTTAACAGCGTCGAAAATACTGTTGCAATTCGTTCATTTTATCCGATGAAAGCATTAGAAGGTCCTTAGAGAAAGAGAACTTTTATAGATGATAAATTTTCTTTTAAATTTCCAATTGTCATATAAATTGTTTTCACTTGATTTCATTATCTGATTTATTTTCTATGATTAAGGATTCTTAGAAAGTATTGATGACTCAAATAAAACTACTGAAGCAGTAACATGTTTCTATTTGATTTTATTCATTTTTTCAAGTGCTGAGTTACTGAGTTGACATTTTCTATTTTACAGTTTATTGCATTGACCGGGCATAAATTCTCTCAAATACAAGCATAACTGTTTTAGAATTCAAATATAATGTCAACTACTAATTATTCTCATATAACTACATCGAAAAGTCAGATCAAGTGTACAAGCTTCGCTTACAAGAATCTGATAACAACCCGGTTAACTTTCTGTTTTGAAGATCTTTTGATTGCCTCTGGTCACCTTGCAAAATTTGAGGGAAAGAAAATGACTGATGAAATAATTATCAGAACAGAAAGTAGAAAAATAAACTCATCATAGATACCACGCTTAAAATTGTGTACGTTAAGCGCGCGATTCGTCTACAAAAGACGCTCAAATAAAATCATAACAAACAGGTAAAACAAAGGACGAAGTTGTAGAGCATCGAGGATCCACAGTAGAACTGAATGTTGTCCGATCCTTGTAATTGAAAGCGTTGGCACTGGATCTGTATTTCATTCAGATTAAACACTGATATGAACCGTGTAAAATTACGAACGACATCATAATGTGTGCCTTTAACTCTAATATTTTATTCTTCATTTCTTAATATTTTAAATTAGGTACCGCTCAACCTGACACAAAATGTACAGTTATTTCATCACCTACTTACAAAAAGTTAAACAATAGTATTAACGTCCCAATTCACATTTATTCATTTAACTAACTTTGACGCTAATGGACAAATATTGATTTCCATATCTGATGTAACTATATTAAATTTGGTTATATGGACAATTTATCTTTAGATAGTGCCAGAAAGCAAATAATTAGAGTAACAAACATTGTCATGGATTTCAGTATTGAATTCCTTCAGTCTCTTCGAGGGAAAGTATAATGATATTAGTTAATCATTTGATCGGTATTCAAATCGTTTTCCAGGGAAACATTTTTCCATCTCAAACAAACGTCTGTTTAAATGACAATTACTAGGTAAATGATATTCTACAATAAATATTGGCATAAAAATCTTCAATGCAAAATATACGAAAGACATCGAGAGGACAACAAACAATAAACAACCCTGGCGATACTCCTTTTCGATTTCAGACTGTGTTATATTTATTCAGTTTGAAGTGGTTCACTATTAATTTTTCTAAAACATCAAAGAAGATACTATATCTTAGACTTTACATTTCTTGCCATCAATTACACCACAGGTAACAAAAAGTAAAACAAAAACTGTTACTTGTCTTCCTGAAAATATTGGTGTACCCCTGGTTTTGGCTATGTTCGTGTTGCTCAATTCTTGTACAAATCTATATTATGTGTACTGTTGGTAAGGTTTTGGTCTTTAATGGTCCCTTGGTAAATTGTCCCCTTTTAAAAAAAATATTAACTTATTTTGTAGTTAACTTGTTACGAAACTGGGTTTTATCTTTTACAAAATAAATGGCAGCACAAGAAATGAATAAAAAACGTTTTGTAGAATTGATGCGTCCGAAGAGCTTTTTTTCGAATCTTTATCAGGAACGCTAAAATCCCATATATGTGAAAGCTAAGAAGTACAAATACTTGAATACTTAATGAGTTATATAATCAGAACGGGAATCCACCCAAAACATTGTACTTATTACAAATATTAAGAGTATTTGTGTTACAAATAAAGGCAACAGTAGTATACCGCTGTTCGAAACTCATAAATCGATAGAGATAAAAACAAATCCGGGTTACAAACTAAAACTGAGGGAAACGCATCAAATATAAGAGGAGAACAACGACACAACAAAAACACAACATTAAAATGTAACACACACAGAAACGAACTTTAATATAACAATGGCCATTTTCCTGACTTGGTACAGGACATTTTAAAAAAAAATGGTGGGTTGAACATGGTTTTGTGGCATGCCAAACCTCCCGCTTTTATGGCAACGTCAAACACAACACCAAAACGACCACGTCACATGACAGGACCACAATACAAATAAATGGGAGAACATATAGGACAAAGAAACACACGAATAATAGCTAACAAAAGGTACTAGGCTTAAAATTCTATACGCCAGACGTGCGTTTCGTCCACACAAGACCAACCAGTGACGCTCAGATGAAAAAAGTTTGAAAACCAAAACAAGTACAAAGCTGAAGAGCACCGAGGACCAAAACTTCCAAAACGTTGCGCCTAACACGGCCAGGGTTTTCTGCTTTATACAAGAACATCCTTATTATTTAGAAAAATTTATAATTTTGCAAACAGTAAATTTTATAAAATGACGTTACAACCGTCTCAGCTAAAATTGGAGTTTTCTATCATTAATCAATCAATCAATTATTTCAACAATTATGACACGCTAATGTGCTATTAACAGAAAGATTTTTTTGTTTATATCAAAAGAAAAAAAACATTATATAATTAAAAACCAATTGTTCAGAGAACAATTAAAGGCCTTTCCACCTGAAACGATATATTTTGATATGAAAATATTAAAATCAGGTTTAATTAAGATGTCATTTCCATTGTCAAAGGATAGCTTACTGTACGCCGATTCCAAAAATATATTGTTTCTATCCACTTTTGTTTGAAATAAGAGAAATAATTTGTTACTTCCGGTTCGAAAAATATTACTTTCGGTATTATATGATAGTTTACTTGACATGTATTGTTAATAAGTTATATTACGAAACATCTTATTTTCAACATTCAAGGAGAGAAAACTCAGTGTAGACGTTACTGCTCCACTTTGGTACTGACATGATTTATAACAAACCTTTCTAAATTTGTCCGTTCATAAATTTTGAAATTGTAAAGAAGCTAAGGTTTCAACTCCCTCAAGCAAAGTTGACCTTAGACGAATTTGGCTATTTTTTAGGTATATTTTTTTGTCATATAGCTGTTCAAACAGTTCGGTACTTAAACATTCTCGACTTTCATATATTCGGCACGGAAAAGTGGATGACCTAAAAAAAGAGATGTGGTATAATTGCTAATGAGACAACTATTCACCAGCGTTCAAATCATGAAGATAAAAACAATGATATATCACCGTACAGCTGTCAATAATGAAAGAAAAGTCTTACCGTATAGTCAGCTATAAAAGACCCGGACATGAAAAAGATTACTAATAGCCTAATTTATACAACAAAAATATTTACAATTTACGAAAAATAAATATGAGACAAAAACAAACGACCACAGCTTAATAATATGCTCCTGACTAAGAACAGTCACATAAAGAATGTGGTAGTGTTAAACATTTTTGAGAGCGCGCAACATCCACCTCATCCCTTCTCCTCCGCACCCTACCCACAATATAAGAACAAGCTGTGAAAATCAGTTGCAATTGGCATAACTCAATAAATCGGTACGAAGCACAAATAAACCAATAAACATAAAAAAATAGGCATAAAGCACCGATACAAGAGTTCTTGCAGTTACTGAAAGCTAGTTCAAGCTAATTTCAACTGATAAATAAATCATGTTTTCCTAGCTAGATGGATATAATGTAAGGACGTAATAAACAGTCTGAGAAATGTATGACCTTGTGCAATGCAAAAATTATTAAACAGTATCGACATGATGTTAGATCACGAGTACTCTTAAATGTACATATTTTGTCTAAGGATATAGTTGTATTTTTGACATTGTTTTACATCCCCCCTTTTTTATTTAATAATGTATTTATATCGTGTTATAAATCAAATTTATTCGTTCAGTGTATGTTTACCTGTTTTTGTTAATATGTCTTTTTGATTGAGTTAAGCCTTTTCAATTGATATTTTATAGTGTGTCTTTCTATTTCAGGTTATGGTGAAGGTTGAAGCCTGTTAAAAGGTTAAAACCCGCTGCATTTGTTTGCACCTGTCCTAAATCAGGAACCTGTTTCAGTGGTTGTCGCTTGTTAATGTTGTTCTCAAGTGTTTCTCGTTTTTTTATATAGATTAGACCGTCGGTTTTCCTGTTTGAATGGTTTTACACTAGTCATTTTGGGGGCCCTTTATAGCTTGATGTTCGGTGTGAGCCAAGGCTCCGTATTGAAGGCCGTACTTTGACCTATAATTGTTTACTTCTTACACATTGTGACTTGGATGGATAGTTGTCTCATTGGCACTCATACCACATGTTCTTATTTCTATATATAGCAATATGTAGTTAGTTATGCTTTAATTTATCAAAAACAAATTGAACGTAAGTACTAACGACAATATTTAAAGATTTCACTACGTTGTTAAAAATAGATAACCTTTAAGAATACGTTTATTCAAAGGATCATTGAGTTTATATGGATTGCATATAAATTTACGCGCTTTATAAACAACATCACCCTGAAAATTTGGATGCGATAGTCCGTGTTCAACAAAAAAGTCTACAGGTACAGCCAAACTTCCTAACCAAAATTTGGTATCTATGAAATATTTTAAGAAAAGTTTTAGTTAATTTGTCGTATGAAAATCCCTGACATTTTTCTTATTATAAGTTGATTTTTCACTTCAATCATTTTCTTACTTTGAATATTAATTCCGGTTTTCTATTTCTGAAGCAGAATATAGAATTGTACTGATACTATTTGCTATGTTTTTATTTTTGTAGCAGACACAGACAAATAGAATATACAGTAAACTTATTTATTCTTTTATTCCCGGTTGAATAAATGTAATTATACTGCATTTCTGTAAATATCAGCCCACAACCTCCAGAGATTTACATAATATAATGGAACTAATGATGTGTCATAGTCTAGCAGCCGCTGTTACAGAGAAACATTTATTCTTTTACATTTTCATGTGGAAAGATCTATCGGTATATCCTAACTCTTCCGACTGCGATTTTATATTTTTTCCAAGATGCCTATTTATATATCAATAAATAGTGTATAGTTCCTAGTTATTAGTGTGTTATCCGAATCTTAGTGTGGATTCTTTTTGGAGGGTTCTGAATGCAAAGCAGGAGGCACTAACCTTGTAGACGTACCCGGTCTTTTCTCTGTTGGAGTTCATACTATTCTCTCAGTTTTTGTTTGTTACATTGATTTGTGGTTTCTTAATTGATCTACGAGATTTTTACATCAATAAACTACTGTCACCTTAAGTAACAGTTCACAGATAACGCCCATTTTGCATAATCGATCAATCTCGTTAAAATGTTCGTACTACTTGTATCTTTTAACACGTGTTAAATTAGACGAATCCAAGAAAATTTGCCACAAAAAAAAACTAGTAAATTATCTAATTGAGCAAATGAAATCCAGTCGGTTAATCTTCTACTCATAAATTAAGCTCATTGAATTTTACAAAAGCAATTATCTTCAACAAAAATTGATAATCCATGTCTGTGTAATAGTATCAATGTGGGTTATCTAGACAATTAATCTTTACTAGATGTCATTAAGTAAATAATTAGAGGAACAAACGAAAGTAAAGTAGAGTGTTTGGTTATAAATTTCTTTAATAAAGGATTATTTATTGGTATTCACCTAATCTCCATTACACAGCCAGACACTTTGACATAACATTTGTCTATGTTTGTTAGATTCTTTGGTTATGTTTGATTTATTCTGATCATGTGTATTGATTAACATTGTAATTGTTCGAAAGAAATGATACCGTATATGAGTGAATAGAAAAATAACAACCTTAAGACATTGTTAGTTGAAACGTCAAATCAAAGGACCTTTACATTTATAAGCATGCTTATCAAAATATTAAATGGTATGATTAAAGATTTAAAAATGGTAGCCGCCGGACTTCTCTCAACCCGCAGTAAAAAGTAAAATCACAAAAATACTGAACTCCGAGGAAAATTCAAAAAGGAAAGTCCCCAATCAAATGGCAAAATCAAAAGTTCAAACACATCAAACGAATGGATAACAACTGTCATATTCCTGACTTGATACAGGCATTTTCTTATATAAAACCACTGCAAAAGAGAAGTTTCCGGTTGCTTTATTTTTGGATGTACAAGTACAAGTGCTTTATTTTTGGATGTACAAATAAGAAGCCACATCCGGTTGTAATAGAAACGTTTATGCAAAACCTTGTGTAGCGAGATTGCCACGCTCTTTAAAAACATAACTTTGAAAAAACGCTTGTAGGCTTCGTATGAGTTCTGTTACGGAACAAAATTTCTGTCACTTTCCATTATACCCTCATTAACCAGTGGCATTCTAAATTCCAAAACCTTCTCCCATTTGACTAACTTTTGTATAAGAAAACCTACCTATTGTATTAACTATCTTTTTTGTCTGTTCTTGTTATAAATATACAAGAAATATTTGCAACTGGACATTCAGAAAATAACAGTCATAATATTAATCATCGAATAATCTTTTATGTTTCTGTTTCATAATTTTTTTTCATATAATTGCATGGCAGTACATTGACATTGATAAGGGATGCCTTCAATTAAGTATTTATTTCAAACATATGTTATATGTCTCCTATGATTTTAGATACCGAAGTAAAAAGTCAGATTAATATATCATTTTGCTATGGTATCTTTACTTTCTTAAAACGAATTCGCAGATGAAACGTCTATAAACATTTAGTTTTAATTCTTTTGTTTTTAAAATTCCTCATTACAGATGTAACCACTAACTATATACGGAGTACACAATATCAAATTATCAGCTAAATCTGGGACGTTATTTCTCAGTATGACCATAAAAAAAATATCTCGATTTAATCAAGTTAATTTAACTTGAATGGCATTTAACAAAGATGCCTAATTCATTGCCATGCTTCATGCAGTGGTTTAAGTTAAAGTATTTATTATTTTCCTATTGAAGTCATAAATTCTTAAAAAGTTAAAAGATAGCCCCAAAATAGGAAGTAGACTATCACGAAACAGAGAAAGGGTCTTGACCCAAGCCTATTGACGCCGTTGTTAGCACAGCAGAATGACAATAAAGTAACGCAAATAACGCCTTTTGCTGAAGATCTGTTTGAATGTTAATTAAGTTAAAGCACTTTGGTATACACCTTGTTTGCATCACGAAAAAGTTACTCAACGAGTTTTGTTTTATTCACCATGATTACCTGTAAACTACCCAACAGAATACTGCATCTAATTTTCAAACATTACCTTTATTCAACTAATTCAGTCTTACTTGAAAATATGTTTTTCAAATATTTTTGTCATATTGTTCGCCTTAATCTTAAGCATGACATAATTATAGGCGTTTAATATTTCCTACAACTTGTCAATAAATATCCATATAATATGAGACACATTATTCAAACTATCAACCGATTTTGCAATACAATGTCTCATAACACATAATCTCGATCACATATCAGACTCTTTTACCTTTGATTAATTCTATGTTTCTTAGATTGCTCATTTATATTTCATTATTTCTCAGAAATATTTTCAATTACTTTCTGATCAAGTATATTGATTACCATTGCAATTGTTATAAATAGTAATGTATTTGAGTCAATATCTGCATCAAAATACATTAAGAAATATGTTTACAGAGTCTGTTAATTGAATCATCAAACCCATAGGACTAATGCATATGTATTATGTTTATCAAAAACTAAATGGCACCATTATAATGATTTGCCAAGGTTTTACAAAGGTATAAAACTATGGAAATCCGCAAACTTCTCCAATCGCAAAGCAAATCCCATCATGTGAAATAGGGGTGTCCATTTGCCTTTGTTGGGTGTGAATAAACGCAGTCACGTGCTATTTGAATTTGAACGTTTATCCGACACCATTGTAATAGCAGAATGACAATAAACTAACGCCAATAACGCCTTTTGCTGAATATCTCTGTTTGAATGTTATTTTAGTTAAAGAACTTTGGTATACACCTTTCAACAATTATACCTAGATAAACTACGAATAATTTCAACTTGGTTGCATTAAGCAAAAGTTATCCAACGAGGTTTTTTTATTCGCCATAATTATCTGTAATCTATTCAATAGAATTCTGCATCTAATTTTTCAACATAAAGTTTATTCAAATAATTCAATCCTACTTGTAAATATGTCTTTTCAATTATTTTTTTGTCCTGTTGTTTGCTTTAATCTTAAGCATGACATGCTATAGGCGTTTAAATTTCATAGAACTTGTAATAAATAGTATCCATATAATATGAGACACATTAGTCAAAATGCCACCCGATTTTGCAATACAATGTCTCATAACACATAATCTCGATCACATATCCAGACTCTTTTACCTTTGATTAAGTCTATGTTTCTTAGATTGCTCATTTATACTGCAATTGTTTTCTGATCAAACGTATAGATTACCAATGTAATTGTTATAAATAGTAATGTATTTGAGTCAATATCTGCATAAAAATAACATGAAGAAATTTGTTTACAGATTATGTTAATTGAATCATCAAACCCATAGGACTAATGCATAATTTATTACGTTTATTAGTAATCAAACAGCACCACTATTATGCTTTGCCAGGGTTTGACAAATGTATAAAACTATGGAAATCCGCGAACTTCTCCCATCGCGCAGAAAAATTCATGCGAACAAGGGGTAACCGTTTGTCTTTGTTTGATGTAAATCACGTGCGATCTGAATTTGAACGTGTATTCAACACCTTGTGTGCGGATTCTGATCAAGTATATTGATTACCATTGCAATTGTTATAAATAGTAATGTATTTGAGTCAATATCTGCATCAAAATAGCATTAAGAAATATGTTTACAGATTCTGTTAATTAAATCATCAAACCCATAGGACTAATGCATATGTATTATGTTTATCAAAAACTAAATGGCACCATTATAATGATTTGCCAAGGTTTTACAAAGGTATAAAACTATGGAAATCCGCGAACTTCTCCAATCGCAAAGTAAATCCCATCATGTGAAATAAGAGTGTCCATTTGCCTTTGTTGGGTGTGAATAAACGCAGTCACGTGCTATTTGAATTTGAACGTTTATCCGACACCATTGTAATAGCAGAATGACAATAAATTAACGCCAATAACGCCTTTTGCTGAATATCTCTGTTTGAATGTTATTTTAGTTAAAGAACTTTGGTATACACCTTTCAAAAATTATACCTAGATAAACTACGAATAATTTCAACTTGTTTGCATTAAGCAAAATTATCCAACGAGGTTTTTTTATTCGCCATAATTATCTGTAATCTACTCAATAGAATTCTGCATCTAATTTTTCAACATAAAGTTTATTCAAATAATTCAGTCCTACTTGTAAATATGTCTTTTCAATTATTTTTTTGTCCTGTTGTTTGCTTTAATCTTAAGCATGACATGCTATAGGCGTTTAAATTTCATAGAACTTGTAATAAATAGTATCCATATAATATGAGACACATTAGTCAAAATGCCACCCGATTTTGCAATACAATGTCTCATAACACATAATCTCGATCACATATCCAGACTCTTTTACCTTTGATTAAGTCTATGTTTCTTAGATTGCTCATTTATACTGCAATTGTTTTCTGATCAAACATATAGATTACCAATGTAATTGTTATAAATAGTAATGTATTTGAGTCAATATCTGCATAAAAATAACATGAAGAAATATGTTTACAGATTATGTTAATTGAATCATCAAACCCATAGGACTAATGCATAATTTATTACGTTTATTAGTAATCAAACAGCACCATTATTATGCTTTGCCAGGGTTTGACAAATGTATAAAACTATGGAAATCCGCGAACTTCTCCCATCGAGCACAAAAATTCATGCGAACAAGGGGTAACCGTTTGTCTTTGTTTGATGTAAATCACGTGCGATCTGAATTTGAACGTGTATTCAACACCTTGTGTGCGGATACTCCCAAGCTCTCTGCAAGTTAAATAAAACAAAACCTTGCACAAAATCTTTGAACTGTTTGTAAGGGCATGGTACAAGGCAACATGTCTGTCAC